GCTAAAAGACCAGAATAGTAAAAATAGCTATAATTGCAGTAACTTTAGTGTCACACAAGATAAAGAGATGTAAATTGTGACACCAAAAACCTAAAATGTGGTGAGGAAGTAAAAATGTAAAGCTTTAGAATGAAAACTTGAGTTCTGATCAACTTAAAATGTTGTTATAAATAAGTTGTTTTATGAAAGACTCATAGTAACCGAAAAGCAAAAACTTACTGTAGATACACAAAGTATACATGTAGAGAAAAAATTCATAAAATCACAAGGGAAGAGAGAAAGAAAAAAAAAGAAAGGTACAAAGGAATTACAAAACAGCCAGAAAACAGCAGAATGGCAATCAGTACATGCCTATCAATAATTACTATATAGGCACATGGGCTAAATTCTCCAGTCAGAAGACATAGAGTGGGTAGGTGAACAACAACAACAAAAAGACCCATCTATACACTACCTACAAGAGGCTCACTGCAGATGTAAGAACACACACAGACTGAAAGTAAAAGGACGTAAAGAGATAGTCCATGAAAACAAACCAAAAGAAAACTGAGTTAGCTATATTTTTATCAGACAAAATAGGCTTTAAGACAAAAACTGTAATAAGAGACAAAGAAGGTCATTACATAATTATAAAGGGGTCAATCTAACATGAAGATATAACATTTGTGAAATCTTATGTACCCAACATAGGACCACCTAAATAAAGCAATTATTAAAAGATTTAAAGTAGAAATAGATAGCAATGTAATAATAGTAGGGGACTTTAATACTCCAATTTCATCAATTGATAGATCATCAAGACAGACACTAATAAGAAAATATTGACCTTAAATCATACTTTAAATAATATGAACTTAAAGAACATATACAGAACATTCCATCCAAAAGCAACATAATACACATTCTTACCAAGTGCACATAGAACATTCTCCAGGGTTGATCATATATAAGGACACAAAACAAGTCTTAATAGATTTTAAAAGATTAAAATAATATCAAACATCTTCTCCAACCACAATTGAATGAAACTATAAATCAATTAAGAGACAAAAAATGGAAAATTCACAAATATGTGAAGATTAAACCTCATGCTTCTGAACAACCAATGAGTCATACATAAAAAAAATTTTGTTAAATACCTTGAAACAAATGAAAATGGAAACACCAAAACTTATATGATGAATCAAAAGTAGTTGAAGATTCACAGAATAAATGCATATATTAAGAAACAAGAAAGATCTGAAATAAAAAAAAACACAAATTAAGCCCAAGCTTAGTAGAACAAAACAAATAAATATCAGAGCAGAAATAAATGTAATAAAGACAAAAAAAAGTAGAAAAGATCAATTAAAACTAAGAGCTGGTTTTTTTAAAGGAAAAAAATGAGAAAACTTACCTAGGTCACAAAAAAAAAGGGGGAGAGGACTAAAATAATAATATAACTAAATAGGAAACATTACAACTGATACCACAAAAATACAAAGGATGATAAGAGACTACTATGAGCAACTATATGCTAACAAAATTAACAGCCTGGAAGAAATGGATAAATTCCTAGGCATCTACCACCTATCAAGATTGAGTCTTGAAGTAATACAAAATCTGAATAATGCAACTTACTAGCAAGGATACTGTATGTAAATCAGTACCAAAAGCCTCCCTAGCAACCAAATATCTAGAACCACATGGCTTACTGGTAATTTACAAATATTTAAAGAAAAATTAGTATCAATCCTTCTTGAACTCTTTCAAACAACAGAAGAGAAGGGAATACTTCCAAACTTAGTTTACTACACTGGTATTAACCTCATACCAAAACCAGACGAGGATACTACAGGAAAAAAACTATAGGCCAATGTCTCTGATGAACATAAATGTAAAATTCCTCAACAAAATATTAGCAAATCAAATTCAACAATATGTTAAAAGGTTCATACACCAAGATCAAGTAGGATATATACCAGGAATACAAGATAAGTTCAACATCCACAAACCATTCACCACATTAACAAAAGATAAAAATCATATGAGACAAAAAAAATGTCCCAAATGAAAGAACAGATCAAATCTCCAGAAAAAAATACAACTAAGTAGTGAAGAGATAGCCAACCTATCAGATGCATAGTTCAAAACACTGGTAATCAGGATGGTCACAGAAGTGGTTGAGCAAAATAAAGGAAAAAGAAAAGGCCATGAAAAGTGAAATAAAGGAATATGTACAGGGAACCAACAGTGAAGGGAAGGAAATGGGGACCCAAATCAACAATTTGGACCCGAAGGAAGAAAAAAACATTGAACTGGAACAAAATGAAGAAACAAGAATTCAAAAAAATGAGGAGAGGCTTAGGAACCTCTGGAACAACTTTAAAAATTCCAACATCTGAATCATAGGGGTGCCAGAAGGAGAAGAGGAAGAGTAAGAAGTTGAAAACTTATTTAAAAACATAGTGAAGAACTTCCCCAATCTGACAAAGGAAATAGATTTTTAGGAAGTTCAGGAAGCTCAGAGTCCCAAAGAAGTTGGACCCAAGGAAGAACACACCAAGGCACATCATAATTACATTACCCAAGATTAAAGATAAAGAGAGAATCTTAAAAGCAGAAAGAGAAAAGGAGAGAGTTACCTATGAAGGAGTTCCCATAAGGCTATCAGTTGATATCTCAAAAGAAACCTTATAGGCAAGAAGGGGCTGGAAAGAAGTATTCAAAGTCATGAGAGGCAAGGACTTACATCCAAGATTACTCTATCCAGCAAAGCTATCATGTAGAATGGAAGGGAAGATAAAGTGCTTCCCAGATAAGGTCAAGTTAAAGGAGTTCATCATCACCAAGCCCTTATTATATGAAATATTAAAGGGATTTATCTAAGAAAAAGAGGAAGATCAAAAATACATGTAGTAAAATGACAACAAACTCACAGCTATCAACAACAGAACCTAAAAAAGCAAAAACAAAAACAAACTAAACAAACAGCTAGAACAGGAACAGATTCACAGAAATGGAGATCATGTGGAGGGTTATCAGTGGGGAGAGGGGAGGGGGAGAATGGGGGAAAAGGTACAGGGAATAAGAAGCATAATGGTAGGTACAAAAAAGACGGGGTAAGTTCAGAATAATACAGGAAATGGAGAAGCCAACAAACTTGTATGTACGACCCATGGACATGAACTAAGGTGGGGGAAAGATGGTGGGAGGCAGGGTACAGGATGGAGGGTATAAGGGGAGAAAAAAAATGGGACGACTGTAATAGCATAATCAATAAAATATATTTAAAAAATAAAAATTTAAAAATCATATGATAAAGCATTTGACATAATTAAAGTCATTTATGATTTAAAAAGCTCCAAAAAGAGTGGGTATAGTAAAATGTACCCTAACATAATGAAGACCACATATAGCAAGACCACAGCTGGCTGTATCCTAAATGGTTAAAGGCTGAAAGTTTTTCCTCTAGTATCAGGAACAAAACAAAGATGACCACTCTTGCCACTTTTATAGTAAAATTATTTTTCATTTTTATTTATTGATTTTTAGAGAGAGAAGGGGAGAATAAAAGAGAAAAAAATTGACTTGTTTCACTTATTTATGCATTCATTGGTTGATCTCATGTAGGCCTTGATTGGGGATCAAACCCACAACCTTGGAGCATCAGGACAATGCTCTAACCAACAGAGCTACCCAGCCAGTGCTGCCCTTGCCACTTTTATTTAATGAGCTACTGGAAGTCCTAGTCAGAGCATTAGTCAACAAAAAGAAATGAAAGAAATCCAAATCAGAAAGGAAGAATAAAACTGTCACTATCTGCAGATGACGTATTATATATAGAAAACCCTAAAGACTCCACCAAAAAAATGTTAGAACTTATAAATTACTTCATTAAAGTTACAGGATACAAAATCAATACACAAAGAAAATGTACCATTTGTGATTTGTGCTATGCTTCAAAAATTTTTTACCAAGAAAAAAAATGCTGCTCTGTATTTGATATCTTTACCTACTAAATTCTGATTTCCATGAGGACAGGCGCCATATGTATCCTGTCCATTACATGGCCTCTGTGTCCCATTACGTCCCTGAAATATAAGTTTTCTATATGTGCTTGTTGGTGAGATAATGAATAGGTGGATGAACAGTTTCCTTTCTACTCTCATTATCACCAAAATATTAAAAGCTATAATTATCTCTCTTAGGTCTTGATTCCTGAAAATTATCAGGAAAAAACTTATACTATTTACTTTGTTACTGGTGAAAATCCTGTTCCCTGTATGGTGTGTAGCACATGGTAGATGCTCAATTAAGATTTTAAAAAATAAACAAATAGCCCTGACCAGTGTTTCTCAGTTGGATGGACATCATTCTGCAAAGTAAGGGGTTGCAGGCTTGACTCCTGATCAGAGTACATGCCTCGGTTGCTGGTTCAGCCCCCAGTCGGGGCATGTGCAGGAGGGAACTGATCAACGTTTGTCTCTCACATTGTTGTTTCTCTCCCTCGGTCTCTCCCTCCCTTCCCTCTCTGTAAAATCAAATAAATAAAATCTTTTAAAAAATATGTTTTACTTCCTAAAAAAAATCAATACATAAAAATCTGTTGCATTTCTATACACTAATAATAAACTATTGGTAAGAGAAATAAAGAAAATTCCATTTATAATTGCATCAAATGAACAAAATGCCTTGGAATAAATTTAAGCAAGGAGGTGAAAGAGCTGTACACTGAATGCTAATAGACATCAATGAAAGAACATCAAGAAGACAAAAATAAATGGAAAGATATTCTGTGCACATGGAGTGGAAGAATTACTATCCAAAGCCATCTATACATTCAATGCAATTCATTTCAAAATTCCAATGGCATTTTTCACAGAAATAAAAGAAACAACCCTAAAATTTGTATGGATCTACAAAAGACCTTTAATAGCCAAAACAATCTTGAGAAAGACAGGGAATCTAAGAACACTTGTTATATAAGGCAAAAAATTATACATGTAAATGTGCCTTACCATTTGTATTTCAGTATCACCTTGTTCTTCAACTTTTATTCCTTCCTCCTGGACTGAGTTACGCTCATTTTCTGGTTGTTTGTACTCTTCTTGGAACTCTTTGCTAATTGCTCCTTGTACATTGTTAGCTTCGTCTTTGACAGAGTGAGATTCCGTGGAAGTAGGCAGTTGACATAATGTTGGGACAGGGTGCAGTGGTGTGACATGATCATAGTGAGTATGTAGGAGTCGTAGAGCAATGTCACTTGTTGCTAATATCCTTGGAATTTCAAATGCAGTTCGTATTTCACTGCATCTGATATTTCTGTACCTGTTAATAATTGATTTTAACAAAAAAAAGAAGAGGACCAGGGAAACACTGCATCTGTTGCAAATTTATTCCTAAGTAGTATTTCTCTTCACTTTAACTTCACCACAATTTAGAATATATTCTTTGATTTGGACCCTGTTGCTAATTTTATCCTTCCCAAAACATGCTCTTGGGATCCATAACACAGTATTCTTCTCTGTCACTGGCAGCTCCTCTGTTTCCTCTGCATGGCCTTCTTCCTAACCATCCCTTAAATGTTGGTACTACTCAGCTGCCCATCCCTTTTCTCCTCCCTCTACATAATCTCCTTGGATGTTATTTCTAGGCTTCAATTATTATTTAAGTTATCAGGAGTTTTTGACATGAGTTCTATGTTTCCTGGGGGCACGTAGTGGGAAGAAAGATCCTGAATGAACTTGAAGGGGTCCGAAAATACCCTTAAATGTGAGCATATAGGAAGATTTAAAGTTCATAAGAATCTGATGCCCCAAAAGTTAAGAACTCCTGATTTACATGCTAATGACTCCCAAAAATATATCTCCAACTCAGAATTCTCTGAAGTCTCTCAGAGAGCTGCACTTTGACATTTCATAGGTCTCCAAACTCAACAAGTCCATCCCTACGACCCCTTGCCATCACCACCAAAACAAAACAGATTTTTCTCTGCCTTCATTATTCATTATCTTAGTAAAAGAACCACCTCATTCTTTTCTTTAGACCCATAGAATTAATGCAGAGCTAGTCATTTTACTTTTATTCTTTTAAAATTACACAGATTCATTCTCTTCACTCTTCTATATATAACATATTTTATAATAAAAGGTTCTATTACTATATTGTCTCTAATTTAGATTTAAACTACAGAGTGTTTTGTAGCAAATACAATGTGAAAAAAATTTTATTTCTTCCTTTTACTAAATATCCAAAATAAAGTTCAGTTTCTTCCATTGTAATATGACTAGTCTTTTCAGAAGTGAGACCAGAACCTCCTAATTTTTTATTCTGATAAATTTTGTTTTTAAATTTACTGCCATACTAACTCAAATAATTAGAAATATTTGAGATCAAGCAGCAACTGAGTGCTCAGGAATTTATCATTACCACTGTCATTCCTCAGAAAGTTGTTACGTTGTTAAAAATAATTGGGGAAACATCCCTTGAACATCTAAAAAAATGGTAAAAATAAAAGTATTAATTTTTGCCCTGGCTGGTGTGGGTCAGTGGATCGAGTGTTGGCTTGTGAACCAAAAGGTCACCAGTTCGATTCCCAGTCAAGGCATATGCCTGGGTTGCAGGCCAGGTCCCCAGTCAGGGGTGTGCATGAGGCAACTGGTTGATGTATCTCACACATCAATATTTCTCTCCCTCTCTTTCACATTCCCTTCCCCTCTCTCTCTCTCTCTCTCTCTCAAAAAACATAAATAAATAAATAAATACAATATTTTTTTAAAGTGTTATTTTTTAGAACGTAGTATTTTTAACAGTTCACAAAGATAATTTCTCTTTTAAGTTCGAGCTAGCCATGTAGAAAGTACCTACAACTTCTATATTTGAGGAAGGTTAAGAGAAGGAAAGATCTGCTATTTATTCAGCATATATTTGTACTAGACACCATGCCATGACCTTTATATGCACTATTTAACCTCAACCCGATCCTATTGATCCTATTAAGTAATATAATCATCATTAGCCTGTTGATATACTGAAGTTCAACAAATCTATGTGACTTGCCTAAGGTAAATGGCAGGTCTATGATTCAAAACCCCATTTGGCTGACTTCTTGACGTGAATTTTTCCAAGGATATCATGTACCATGCTGTTATCCAACAGGAATATGCCTGGTAATCATGATGTGATTCTAATGTCTTTTAACCTACAATATCACCCATGGGAATACCTCGGGTTCTTCTTGAGGTTCGCCCATACATAGAGGGTAACATTTTCATCTTGAATGACTTTTTCCATATTTCCAGTGTCCAGATCTGCCAAAGTACTAGCTTGCTATAAGAGAAAAAGAAAACAGTATAAAAGATCCGAGGCCTCATAAGTTATACAATTTAAATAAGTTAGGGTGTTGGATTCAACACTACTTAAAAAAGTTACTTCGGTAAACATAAGGTTCAATCGAAATGATAAAGGATTGCTTAAAAATTCTCAAAATTACACAAATATATTTACTTAATTAAATGTGCCTCCCTTTTTCCACTTAATTTCTCTTAGGGTGTCTAAGGATTGAATTTGCTCCTATATATTCAGGCAGCATGTGTAGATCACTATTATAATTAACCTTTTCAATTTTAACATTATCATGACTTTTCACTTTAATTATACAGACTTCTTTATCTGTACTTTATTAAGATGTAGATTATTCTACTGCAAAAATTTGCCTACTTCTGAACATATCAAGGTTAGAAAACAAAATATCCAGTATATAAAATCCAGATGAGTTGTGCATTTAACTAGTCCAGTACTTGGTATATAACATTAAATATACAATTTAAGGATGTTCTTAAAAACTTTTAAGTAAAGACTAACATAGCTTGATGCCTATTCCTCAAGAAACAGGCTCTCTTAATGGGCTTAAGAAAGTTAATATGCATTTGGTGGCTATAATGTAAAAACTTAGAAGTATTGGAGATTGATTTATTGGTTTGTGTGTGTTTTTTAAGTAACTGTCCCTGCTCCTACTTCTTTTTTTTCTGTGAAATTAACTTTTTGAAGTATTCAGGATAGTTTCTCTGTATAATTATTCTACATTGTGGATTTATCTGATTGTTTTCTCATTGTATCATTTGGCCTTTTCCTCTATTTCCTTGTTTTTCATGTAATGGGTCTAGGTAGGTTTAATTAGATTCAGACAAATCATTTTTAGCAAAAAGGCATCATAGGTTTTGTGTTGTTCTTCATATTACAACCCTTCGGGAGGTGTATTTTATCCTACTGTTAATTATGTGGATTTCACCACCTGGTTAAGGTGGTGACTACCCACAGCTCCATATTTCAAAGTACATTTTTCCCAATCAGTAAGTAATCTGTAAGGAATCAGCAAGTAATACTTTGGCACTTTCATTTAATTATTTAGGTAGCCAATGATGATCCTTATCATTTATTACATTAGAGATTGAAAAATGGTCATTCTTATAACTGCCCATTCCTCCTCCATTTATTATATAGCATTCTTCTGTAATTCTCCCCACTCCCCAGACCATCTTCCTTCTTCCTTTTTGGAGTATCACTATAGACTCAGATTTTTATTTACTCAATGTGTTATAATCAGTTACAGTCACTATCCTTTCTGATAGCCACATTGCCCCACGTCTGACTAGTGGGAGACTCTTTAAGGTAGTCCTGTCCTTTTGGATGAGGCCCCATTGGACTTGGAGCATTCGCGCGCTTTCTAGCACAAGAAGACTCAACCTCCTCTTTCAGTGATAACCTTACCTTTCACTTTCCCTTCCCCAGACCCAGAATCAGCCTTTTACTCCAATTACACCTGGCTCCTTTTTTGGAATAAAAAGAAATAGAGCTCGTACTAATATTTCCATTTTAAATATATTACAGCATTTTCAGTCTTTTATTTTACTACATTTTTATCCTACAATAAAAATCTTGATGAATAATTATAACATTATCACTTACTCGCTTTATCTTACAACATAAAATAGTTGTAAAATCATAATTTGTTATTGGTAAAATCATAATATGTTATTGATAACAATTAGTGATGTTTAGGCCTTCTTTGCATTTCTTTTAGTAATTACAACATATTCTCCCAAGGCTATACCAAGGCGAGGATTGTTTTCTAGACCAAAAAATGAGACAAAATAGCCAAAAGTAATGTGTGACCTTAGATTGATTTCTGATTAAAAAATAAAACAAAACCAGTTATAGAAGGTATTCATAGGATATTAGGGAAAATTTAAATATGGGCTATATATTAGAATATGTTATAGAAATAACATATTACTTCTATATTATCTCTACATTTATATGATTAATAAAAATTACTTTTTGAAAAACAAATACCATATGATCTCACCTTTAACAGGAACCCAATCAACAAAACAAACAAACAAGCAAAATATAACCAAAGACACTGAAATAGAGGACAGGCTGACAGTGACCAGAGGAAAGAGGGGAGGGAGGGAATTTCAGGGGAAAAGAGGAAGCATCTACAGGAACAAGTATAAAGGACACATGAACAATGACAAGGAGGGAGTGGAAATGGGAGAGAGGTGGGGAGGGCTGGATGGATGGGCTGGGATGGGGGTAAAAGGCAGAAAACTATTTGAACAATATAAATAAATAATAAATAAAAACTATTCTTGGTTTGGGGTATATGTTTCTAATCCTCTGCATGTTTAAACAAAAATAAAAAATAGATGCAGTTATTTATAATTTTTGAAATAGAAATTTAACCATGCTAAAAAAATTACTTTTTATTAATTTTCTTAGGCATAATGATGGTTTCATGGTTACTTGAATATTATCATTAGTGCTAAGATATTTGGAAAAATAGAGTGACTACAATAATTATAATTTGCATCAACTAATTTATCTGAAATGAATATCTAATTCATAAGATTTTGTGAATTTATTTTCATAGTGATCCTGGTAAACCTTGGCAAGTATAAGAAAACTAGGTTTTAGCAATATTGATGCTTTATTTCTTTAAAAATACTTACAATTGTTAAGTAAGGATAGATATATGTGCCTTAAATTATGCCACTTTCTATAATCTTTAACTTTTTGAAAAATAATACTGAATTTCTAAAACTATATAGCATAAAATTTTAACTCTCATAAAAGTTAATAATAACATATAAGCGAAATATCGCACTTACTCGGAGTAGTACTTCTGTGGCTATGTTAAACTTCAGGTGAAGGAGCTCCTGCAGTTCCAGAATTGATCCTTGGTACTGTGCTATATCTTTCTCTTGCAAATCATGTGGTGGAGTTTCCAATAAAGTTAATTTCAACTTATTAATTAACTATAAAGCAAAAGTATAAAATAAAAATATAAAGTAAAAATTTAGCCTAAAAGAAAATCAAATCTGACAAATAAGAAAAGGGGAAAAGGGGATATTCTAACATTTTTCAGTCAAAGAACATATCTTATTGTCAGTAAAATAAATAAATACCAGAAAGGATTTTTATATTATTTAAGAGCATGGAAAAACAGACTATTTCCTCCCAAAATTCCATTATAAAAATTCTCAGCCATGTGTAACAGAGCTTTCATTACCTAAAACTATGGAACAATAGAAATAATAACAATATCAGAACAATGGAAAGGAGAAAGTAAAATTACTAATATTTACTGAACGTTTACTATGTGCTAAGAGCCATTCTAAATACTTTATATGTTTTAATTAATTCAATCCTCATTATACCTCTATGAGGTGGATACTGTCATGGTGCCTATTTTATAGCTGAACAAACTTAGGAACATCTAGTTTCACCTGTAAGAATCTTGGAAGATGCCATTCTGTTCTAACAAGTAAAAAGATAGTCAGACTGAAAAGTTAGTGACTCTTCTTTGACCGGTAAGTGAGGGGCGGAAGCCTACCGGGGAACACAGATAGCCCCGGCTTACCAGAACCAACTGCCGCTTGGAACCAGTGCCTGGCAGGACACCTGAGCTGTAAATGACGATTGCTGGAAGCTCGGTGTGGTCACTTCTGAGTTAAAAAAACTCCAGGAGGACACAGCCATGGCAGCGGGAGGGCCCACAATATTGTCACATTTACCTGCAGTGTCTCGACAAGGTTCACACAATAAACGTGGGAGAAAATTCCTCTCGTGCTTCTGGCAGTGGAAGGGGAAAGGGACCCATTCCGAAATACTCCGGAGCATTGCGTTCTTAGTAAGGCCTGATCTCGGAAAACTAATTACGGGTCTAACCTCCTGGAGTTGTATCAGAACCTAATTCACCTGCGGGGAGGAACTATCCAACTCCAGCTGGCTCCAGTCACCCCGTCCCACTGAAGAGAGGATAAGAAAATTAAAAACACCTGTGAAAATCATCTCCCTGGGGCACAGGATTAGTAAAGGACTGAAACCTAATCACAGGACTACATGGGGCTCCGCTCTGGCAGAAGTAACACCTGTTCGAGTGTGCTTGGCAGGGAATAATGTGGGTGTAATAATTTATAGTTTTAATGTGAATATTCCAACTAAAATGCCATAGGGTGTGCTCGGATGTGATATTGTTATGTTATAGAATTGTGTGCTTATGATTTTGTAATAAAAGATTTGTAATAAAAAAGGGGGTGTTATTGGTGCCAGACCCTGTAGAACTCTTCCCCGCCCCTGTTCTCCCTCGCCACCACATAACTAAAGGCCTGTTTACAGCAATTCCTTTTACTCAGTACATTACATCCAGCTGTCAAGAAAAGATCACCAGGAATACCAAAAGGCAAAACAAAACAAAACAAAAAAAACCCACACACACACACCACAATTTGAAGAGATATACATGGATGTTAGAATAATCAGACTGGAAATTTTTAACATAACTACAATTAATATTCTAAGGGTCCTAATGGACAGCATGCAAGAACAGATGGATAACATAAGGGGAGAGATGGAAATCCTAAGAAAGAACCAAAAAGGAATGCTAGAGATAACAATCAATGTGACAGAAACGAAGAATGCCTTTGATGGGCTCCTTAGTACACTGCACTCAGCTGAAGAAAAACACTGAGCTGAAGGACATATCAATGGAATCCCAGAAAACCAAAAAGCAAAGGGAGTGAAGACTGAAACAAAAACAGAATAGAATATCCAAGGACTATGGGACAATGACTAAGGTAGCTCCCACATAATGGGAATACTGGAAGGAGAAAAAAGAGAGAAAGGAACAGAAGAAATATTGGAAATGATAATGAGTAAGAATTTCACCACATTAATATCATAAGCCAGACCACAGATCCACAAAGCTCAGAGAACACCAAGGAGGATAAATGCTCCCCCAACCACAAAACTAAAACAAAACAAAACAAAACAAAACAGAAAACGACACTTAGGCATATCATTTTCAAAATGTAGAAAATCAAAGATAAATTTAAAAATCCTGATGGAAGCCAGAGGGGAAAAGAAAAGACACTTCACGTTTAAAGGAACAAAGAATCACATCCAACTGCTCAGACACCATGCAAGCAAGAAAAGAGTGGCGAGATAATTAAAATGTTGGGAAAAACTGAGGCACAGCATGGTCAAGGAACAACTAGTAAGTGGCAGAATTTAGGTTGGAACACTGACACAGGTGAGAAACAGAAAATTTCTAAATTAAGAGAGGCAGCATAGTAATGGGGGATAGTATGAACTCAAGCCAGAGGCTGGGCTTCAGTTCTAGCGCCCTCTTACTGTCAGTGTGATCCTGGGCCAGTTATTTACCACCTCTGTGCCTCAACTTCTCCATCTGTAAAATGGGGAGAATCGTGCCTAATTCATAGGGTTATTGTGAAAATTCAGCAAGTTACTATTGTATTTCTAAAGCCTGGCATAGTAAGCATTATCTAAGAGTTTGTCAAATAAATGAACATGATAATCTGGAATTCAATGTTTACCAGGGGGTCACTGCTATCCAATTATTTCTGTTCCTCTTGTGGCTTCCTGCTTTAGTTTGCTATTGCTATGATTCCTCTCCTCTTCTGTTTCCTGTTTTGTTTTACTTATCATTTTCTCATTTTCCCTACTATTTATTACTCGTAATTCTGTACGCCACATTCATAACAGGAAGATGCCACTTCGCACTCATCACTGATGAGCCCCAGTGCATCCTTCCACTACCTCCCAGCTAACAGCAGAGCACCAGATTCCTGGACCAGCACCATGCTAGGGCAGCCTCCCCAGTTGAGGACATGTGCAATGGCAAGATACTGTATGGTGAATCCACGGGTGTACAATACCTCACAATGTGTGGGAGGCTCTCTGGAGCCTCTGGAAAGTCAAAGTAAGGCCCATCTAAGGTCTCATAGGGGGCTCTAACCAAGTTGCAATCGGTGTTTCTTCATATGTAAAAAAAATCTCACCAGCATGTTGTTTAGATTAAAATAGGCAATGCTCATTATGTGCTTCCAAGAGCCTGGAATTATTCCCCTTCACAGCAACATGGAGGAGAGTTAAACCACAGTGACAAGAGGCACAAAACATATTGAGAGGAATTAGAACACAGGTGGAAAACGCAAGGCCCACGGGCCAAATCTGGCCCTCTACCTTGTTTTATCTGGCCTGCCACCTTGTTTCTACCCAGCAGTAGCACTGAGCTCTGCCTTAACTGTTAAGAAGTAGTTACATTTATATAGTCCTAAAACTACATTCAGCCCTTTGAAGGCAACCATGAGGCTGATGTGGCCCCTAGTGAAAACGAGGTTGACAACCCTGAGTTAGAACAAAAAGCATAAAGGAGCACTTCCAGTCAAGATGGTGGCATAGGCAGACATGGTTGGCCTGACTGTACAACCACATCAAAATTACAACTAAAATATAGAACAATTATCACTGAGAACCACCAGAAATCGAGTTGAATGGAAGTCTGACAACTACAGAATTAAAGAAACCACATCCAGACTGGTAGGAGGGAGACAGACATGGAACAGGCTGGTCCCTCACCCAAGTGTGATGGATAAAAATTCAAGAGGGATATTCCAGGAGTGAGAAGTCCCAGCCCTACACCAGAGCCCCCAGCCCAGGGTTTCAGTGCCAGAAAGATAAGTATCCCCAGCTTCTGGGTGCAAAAACCAGCAGGGGTTGAGTTGGTGGAAGAAACTTCTGGAGCCCCAAGCAGTTTCTCTTAAAGAACCCACACACAGACTCACCTACTCAAACTCACTCCCTTTGAACCCCAGCACCAAGGTAGCAGCATGAAAAGCACCAGTGGCATATGGGAAGAAACTGAGGTTTCTAGCATCAAGGTGAGAAGAAATAATTGTTCCTTGTCTGAACCCTCCACCCATAGCTGACAAGCCACAGTGCCATATCTGAGACTCCATCAACCTGGCTAATACTGTTTGCCCTGCCTTGGTGATCCTCAGAGACTCCACCCCACCCAACTTATGGGCCCACACAAGCTGCTTTTCCATAGGAATAGCTGGTCTTGGCTAATGCTTCATAACTTGCTAAATCATATCAAATAAGCAATAGCTGGCCTCAGTGGGACCCTCGCAAGCAGCAGCCAGCAGAGATTCACAAGTTGACTTCTAGGAATCTTCAAGCACAGCACAACTAGCAGCCATTTCAGATTGCTTTATAGCTGAGGCAGCACAGCCTTGGGCAAAACAAAAGCAGGGGCTGACTTTGTTCAGCACCACCTAGGAAACCCCAGGGCCAGCACACCCGGTGGACAGCTACAGACCACGTTGGAACACCACCACCCTGCCCCTGCAAAGGTGATTTTCCATGGAGGATGGAGGTTGGTGGAGGGTGGTCACAGCCAGTCCTTGCAGCTGACTGGCCTGGGTAAATCCCTCCCATTGACCTGCCAACAGCAATCAAGGCTCAACTGCAAGAGGAGGGTGTACACAGCCCAAATGAAGGGTGCACCTTGAGTACCCAGACAGGGGAGGCTGTGCCACTGGAACCTACATGACACCTACTACATTAGGCCACACTACCAAGACACAGAGTCAAAGCAGCTCTACCTATTACACAGAAGTAAACAACAGTAGAGTGGGTGAAGCTGAGAATCAAATCAATGATTTGGAACCGAAGGAAGCAAAAAACAACCAGTTAGAACAAGAAAAATAAAAAAGAATCCAAAAAACAAGGATAGTATAAGCAGCCTCTGGGACAACTTCAACTGGTTCAATATTCACATCATGGGGTGCCAGAAGGAGGAGATAAACAGCAAGAAATTGGAAATCTATTGAAAAAATAATGAGAGAAACCTACCATAATTTCCTTCACCAGAAGGAAATAGACATGGAAGTCCAGGGAGCACAGAGAGTCCCAAACGAGATGGATGCAAAGAGGCCCCCCCAAGACACATCCAGAGTTTTAAGTGCCAGAGTTTAAAGATAAAGAGAGAATCTTAAAAGCAGCAAGAGAAAAGCAGTTAGTTACCTACAGGGACGTTTCCATAAGACTGTTGGGCTGATTTCTCAAAAGAAACTTTGCAGACTAGAAGGGCAAGAAATATTGGCAAGAAATATTCAAAGTCGTGAAAAGCAGGACCTACAGCCATGATTTCTAGACCCAGCAAAGCTATCATTTAGAATCAAAAGGCAGATGAAGAGCTTCCCAGACAAGAAAAAACTAAAGGAGTTCATCATCACCAAATCATTATTATATGAAATGTTAAAGGGACTTATTTAAGAAAAAGAAGATCAAAACTATAAATAATAAAATGGCAAGAAATACAAATCTATCAACAATTGACACTAAAAAAAAAACAAACTAAGCAAAGGAAAACAGAAACAGAATCATAGATACAGAGAGTGTTTTGCTGTTGCCAGATCAGAGGGGTAGTAGGGGAATCGGTGAAGAGGTGAGGGGATTAAGAAGTGCAAATAGGTAGTCACAGAATAGCTATGGGGATGTAAAGTACAGCATAGGAAATGGAATAGCCAAAGCACTTACATGCATGACCCATGGACATGAACAATAGTAGGGGGATTGCCTGAGGGACTGGGGGTTGTTGCTGGTTGGAAGTGTGAAAGGGGGGAAAATCAGGATAACTGTGATAGTGTAATTAATAAAATATAATTTTTAAAAAGCATAAAGTATAATGGGATCAAGAAAAGTGAATTGCTTTACTTTCTAATATTATGTAGGTGTGTCTAAGTGTGGATTTCTTTCTATTTATCCCAAATTGGCATTTGTTGTATTTCTTGAATCAGAGGGTTCATTTCTTTCCTCAGTTCTGAAAAATTGCCAGCCATGTCTGTTTGACTACTTTCTCTCCCTTATTCTTTGGGTACTCCTTTTCAATCAGTTTTTAGTCTTTCTTCCTCTATTATACATATATGTCAACTGCCCTTTCACATTTTCCATCTCTTTATCTCTCTGTGGTGTCATCTGGTAAATCGTCCAGTCCAACTTCTGATTCACTCCTAATTCAGAATTCTCACTAGAGACATTTTTGTTTTCCCTCTATTAAGCTAAAGATGAGCAAAACAAGTTCGTATCACCTCCCTTTGCAGAGGAGGTTTTTTTCCCTATTATCCACATTGCCTTTCTGCGGCTCCCAGCAGTACAGGAGGTCTCTGATCCATTTGTCACCTTGCATGTAACATAGGCTTTGCATCTGATGGCCCTTTAAACCAAAGCTAAGCCACCAGGGGTTAACAGATACTTTCTGGGAAGCCCCTGACTTCTACACTTGCCCACTTTTCTAAGTTGTTTTATGACCTCCAAGATTTTCCCTTATGTTCTTTTATACTAGGCAATGGACTTAAATGTCATTCAAAATACTTTTCCAGAATTTTTAAGTGCTTGTAAAGTGGTAGCTCCTCAAGCTAGTCTATGCATCCTGTTTGCAGAAATAGAACATAGGATAGTCTTATTCATCTTGGTACTTTCACTGCCTGAACGAGTTGGGGCCTGGCACATAGTTAACAATAAATACGCGTGTATACATCAATGAATAGTGGATGATGCAGCTGAAAATAAAACTATGAACTTTCTTCCTAAGTTATTAACATAAATGGATACAACTTAATTTTTTTTACTTGAATTAGACACACATACAGTAAATATTTCACATTTATGTTATGTTGACCTCATCTCAGGTATCAAGGGGTTTTTAGGAGTTAAAGAGAAAAAGATTAGCAAATATTTTTCTCCATAGCCAAGGAGGCAAATATTAGTGGCAAATACCATGTCTTATTTCTATTTTTTGAAATCAACTTGTACTTTAAATAATTTTAAATTATGGAATAATACTTAGGCACTCACATGCAGCACTAGTTTACTCTTTGCAATGACTTCCTCGAAAGTCTCATCTGTTTCCTCTTTCCACAAGCTAATGAAAGTATTGATTTCTTGGGCTACTGAAGGGTCAGGGCTCCCGTCACATTGAATGTAGTGCATCCACTGCAGAAGAAAAACATCTGGAGGTTCACACTGATGAAGATTCAACCGAAGACTAAATTGCTTCTTGTTTAAGTATCAGTTCTCATAACCTAGTTTTCTCAGTTTGGGCAGAAATATATTAGGACCTTAACTAGTTACTTATTTCTAAAGTAACCAAATTCCTCTTCAGCAAAATAATTTGTAAGCCTCAATAATTCAAATAGATACAAATTTATTGTAATACTTTAATTTTTAAAACCGTGTATGGGTTGGTTTTGTTTTGCTTTCCTCTCTTGTCATATAGCTCCTATATTTACAAAAGACAACATGTGGGCTAATTTCTATGTCTCAAAGCATTACTAACTGTTAATCACCATGGGCATTTTAGTATGAGCCTTTCCATTCATTTATACTCTATGCAAATTCTACATTTGTAATCACACTGCACTTATAATTTTTCACTTAATATTATACCATAATCATCTTTCATCATATTATTACAGTTTTTTTCTTTTTCTCCTGATAATCACCCATGTTGTTCCTAAAGCTATGCTGTTTGGGGCAACACTAGATTGCCTTAAACCCAACATTTTTATATTTTAATTTAGGACTATTTCCTCAGTGAAGATTCCAGTTGAGTCAAGGGATATAAATATTTCAAGGATCTTATTACTGACACATAGTTTTGTGCAAAGCTAGATGAATTTATTTTGCTACAACAACTCTGTCAGGTCAGAGATTTTTTATAGACAAATTTTAAGTTTCTTGGAACTAAAAAGGATATCAGGCTACAACTCCCTCTTGTGGTACAAAAGTACTAGCTCAAAAAAAAAAAAAATTCAGCCTTACCTGAGAAAGCAATCTATTATTTCGTTTCAGCTTCTCTGCTTCAGGAAAGCACCTCTCCAACAAAAAAAGTTCCTCAAGTTCTTCATTTTTTCTTTCTAGATCCTGTTGCATGAAGATACATTAATTTGTTCTTTAATTTCAGCTTTTGTTTCACAGTAACATCAAAATTTTACTTGGCAAAGTATTTCATTTCAGAATGAATACTAAAATTAATTTGTATGTAACTGATATTTCTAAAAGGTTTCCTCTGAAACAGTGGTTTGCAAAGTGTGGTCTGCACACTCATGGTGTGTCCACCAAGGCCTTCTGAGATGTGTGAAGTCAACCCTATTTTCACAATAATACTAAAACTCTGTCTTTTTCACTGTGCACACGTTTGCACTGACAGTTCGAGCTGGTGTAAAACCATGGTGGCAGCACAAATCAAGGCATGAACTGTACTCGTGGTCTCATTCTTCAGGGGCGGGGGTCATGAACAGCCAGTGTCACATAAGAATGACCTGATGGACCAGTAAAAATTACTCATTTCATAACATGTCAAGCTTTGAGTGTACGTCTTTGTAATATCCTGTGTGATAAAATGGGAAGTATGCATGAAGCATGTCTGCTGCATAGCAACAAACAATACCGTCTTCAGAAATAAACACTTGTGCAATTACTTGAGTATTTTGGCAGACATTCTCTCAAAAAATGAATGAATTGAGCATGTCACTTCCAGGGAACAATTTAAAGTATTTGTTGCTGATGATAAAATTCAAGCTTTCGAATAATTTTCAAATTTTAGAAAACTTTTATCTACCACTATGAGCTTGAGAATTTCCCAATCCTTAAGGACTTTTCTGATTGGATTGTAGATACTTGTGATTTTTTGATAATGAATAACAAAAACATGTCAATATTTGGAAGGAAATAATTCAGTGAACCAAATTTTTCTGAGCAACCAATACATGATACTGCAAAATCATGCACAGAAATGAGAACTACTCAGAGTGTAAGACAGGTCAAGGTTTTAGTGTAGTAGAGTATGAAAAGTTCACTGCTATGGTTTCAGATTCTACATTAAGAAACTACTACTTATTGATTTTTGGTAAAGTAATAAAAAATATCCACAGTTATCTGAAAGGTTAATAAAATATTCCAGCTACGTATCTGTGTGAGGCCAAATTTTCTTCACACACTCCAATCAAAAATACACAGCACAATGGAATACTGAAGTAGACATAAGAATCCAGTTGTTTTCTGTTAAGTCAGACATTAAAGAGATTTTAAAAATATAAGCAATGCCACTCACTTCCCTAATTTAAAAATGTATATATAATGTGTGCTGATGGATGTTAACTAGACTTAATTGTGGCGATCATTTCACAATATATACAGATATCAGATCATTATGTTGCACACCTGAAACTAATATGCTATATGTCAACCACAGCTAATAGATAATGTATATATGTATATAGATAATATACAGTATCTATATGTAATTATATATGCCTCTTTTCTTAAAAATATGTGAATCATATTTACTTAATGTTTATTTTTAACAATGTTTAAGTCTATTCATATATTATTAAATTTCTTGGTTTTAATTTCTACTATGTAAATATTAATAGATGTAACCCACATAAACAAAAGTTCCTTGGTGGGGTTTTTTCAATTTTTAAGAGCAATGAGGTTTTTTTTTCCTGAGATCAAAATATTTCACAACTACTGATCTGAAAAATTCTGGTGAAAAGAGAAGTGAAACCAAAAAAAGAGAGGTAGAACTGAAATATTTGTTTTTCCTTTTGGTCCCTGTTCAATTTTCTACAAAACAGATTGAGAATAATAAATTCATGTTTACAAGCATGGGCTCCAATGCAAGATTACTTCCATCTAGGTCCTGGCTCTGACCCAGCTTGGTTTCCCTACTCCTCAGTTTCCTTATCTGTGAAGTGTGGATGATGATGGCATTAATTTTACAGTAGGGTTAAATGAATTAAACCAGTTCATACCGGCCTAACTATTACTGGTAGCCTCTGGAGAAGAATGATATTAAATAGCCCAAGAGATCTGATAGTCATATAGTTTGCCTTCACTGATAACATCATGAATGTTTATTTACTTTTACTTCAAGTTGTTGCCATTTTTCTTTCTCAATTCGTTCCATTTCAAGCCTTTCCATTTCTTCTTTTTCACGTTTCACACGAGCTTCCTCTAAAGGACAAAAAAAATTTTTTTCACAGTGATAAAAATCAATCTATATTTAAAGCCTAAAAGTCACTTCAAATATTTGGAAGATGTAATGATGGTGATATGTTTTATAGAAGTCACAACCTTTATTATATAGTAGAATTAAGACAAATGCTAGATTTCTTTAAAAAAAAAGTAACATGACTAAATTTTCTGGCCAAAAAGAATAGGCCCATAATGATATCTCTCTTCTCTCAAAAGTTTATAATGATCCAATAATGACTTTAGCCAATAAAAAAATGACACATCTATTGTGGGTGATTAAGAAGAGGTCACATCTTCATAAGATTTGCATAACCTTGTGATATCTACATCATCAAAGCAATAACCTTAAACTTCTCTTGCTTTCGCTATTAAAAAGAAAATATGATACATATGTTGAAGAATCTGAGTTTAAATCATTATCATAAAACGTTTCCCAAGATCTAGATACTGATGTTCTATTCTTATCATGAGTCATCTAAAAAGGATTTATACATAAAAAATCAGCATGAAACCTGAAAAACAGATTTTTAAAACCTGAATTTTATCCACAGATATTCTTAATGTTAAAAGCTACAACCACTTGAAATATTCAGATTTTTAAAATAATTTTTGGTATTTTAAATAACAATACTTTAATTGTTTTAATTGATATTTTAACAAGTGAAAGTCCTCTTTACATTTGGCAAATAAAATTATGAAACTATAAAAATCTAGACCACTGTGTGTTGTCTTGCTAGTGTGTACTTCCCTTATTCAATGAACTCCAGTTTCAGAGTTCTCACCGCACAGTCAGCACCAATGCCCCTATTTCATCAGTAAGTGTGACCACTTCAAGTAGGACTGCCGGAATTAATATCAAAATAAAGATGCTCAGTTGAATTTGAATTTGAGATCAATAATGAACTTCTTTTTTCTTTGGTTTAAGTATGTCCCGAATATTGCATGGGGCAAATTATGCCAAGTTATCTATTGTTTACCTGAAATTCAAATTTAACTGGGCATCCCATATTTTATCTGGCAACTCTACTTCAAAATATATCTTAAAGTTATTTGTGTGTGCTATCGCCTTTCTGGGTGCCCTTTAAATAGTAGGCACCTATCATGAAAAAATTGAATTTGAAAAATTAAAGAATTTTGAAAATTCTTTTAAAGTATATTGACTGGATTTCAGAAACACCAACCTGTGGCTGGCATCACCTGCATGTAAAAATAGCATCACTGTGTTTTGTACCTTCCTCTTTTTGGCGTCTCTCCTCCTCCTCTTGTAGCAGCTTCAGGTTTTCAGCTTTGGTGTTTTTCTTTTTCTTATTGCCAGGTTCAACAAAGGCAACAACATATATTTTAAAAAGGCTATTAACCCAAATACCTTAAAAACATATATCCCTCAAATAATAATTATGAAAAATATCTCTATAAATCCTATTTTTCACTCATTCAAATAAGACCACCTATTATGTGCAAAGCCTTGACTTGGTGCCTTAAGGACAACACGTGAAAGCAAATAACAAAAATAAGCACATAAATCATTCAACACCAAGAGTGATAGTGACAAGCATAAACACTTTAAGTAACTCTCTCTTCCCCAGTTTTCACATCTTTAAAATGGTGCTGAATGGAACCTCATTTCACTATTGTAAGGGTTAAAAGAAAATATGTGTAAAAACAGTTTTAATACTGCAACATGTCAATAAATATTACAGAAATTTTTTATGACTGGAAGATATACAGAGAATTATTTTGCAAGTTTGGTGGAAGGAGAGATTATTTTCAACAGCTGGGATCAAGTAAAATTATATAGAGTATGTATAGTACTTAAGTTTGTGCCCCCCAAATTGTAACAGTCAGATCCAAGGGGGAAATATCCCTAAAAGAGGGAAACACGGGCATAAGGGACAGAGTTCAGAGAGCCTGGAGAGGCCAACAGGTTCTGTGGGCCCTGGGAAGACGCCAAGGAGAGGTGATGCGCAAATGAGAATGGAAAGGCAACTGGAGCCTAGGCTATAGAGTTTAGACATTGTTCTGAAAGAAACCCCCTAAATGTTTTCAAAAAGGGCTATGGCTTAAGAATATAATTTTGAAAACGAACCTGGTATTTGGGAAAAATGATTATAAAGGGAATACCATTTTGGTCACTATTAATGGTAGTTAAGTCATGACCCAAAATGCAGATAGGAGAGTGGATCCAATAATCGGATAATGATTAAATTACAGGCAAGAGAGAAAGGAGACAAAGAAGAGTTCAAAGGAAAAAATAAGAAAGAAAGAAAAGAATGGTAGTCCAGAGCAAGTAAATTCATAAGAGAAAGTATTTAAAGAAGTTTAAATATACTTAGTGTGAAGTGCTGGAGCATCCAGGAAATGCTGCAGGCATTAAAATGAGAAAACGGAGGTTTATCGAAGAGATGAGAGCTACAGGGTACAGATCTGAGAACCATCTTGGGGTTAACCACCTCCCCTCCATTTTCCCTGAGGGAAGATTACATAAATAGAAGACAATCATCTAAACTGAGGAATCAAGAGTGATTGATCCTTGGAATACATACTCTTGGATGACCATCTTCAAGTTTTGGCTCACTTACTGCAGGACGGTCCATCGGAATCTCCATCCCATTAGCCCTACCAGTTTCCTACCGTTCAGCAACCCTTCTCATCCCCACACTTCTTTTCTTACTCGGGTTAGATTTCACAGTTGGTTCATCACCATTATCACTAACATACATCTCCAGCTCTCCTATTTTCCTCTCCTGAGAAGCTCAGCTGGTGAATTCCTACCTCTAGTTAAATTCAACTCCCCAATAATCTGTGCTGGCAATATGAGCAGCTGAACCTTGCCAGAAAAAAAATATATGAGTTCAAATTTATGAGCACAAATATTCTTAATAGTCTTAAGAATAAGACTATTCTGCACCATCCAGTATTCTTACTATTTCATTGTCCTCACTCTTCAAATTTCCAAAATCCCCTGCTCTTTCCTACTCTCAGCTGTTGACCTTGCCTCATGTATCATTAGCAACTTTGAGAAGAAAACAATCTCCTTACACAGCAAATCTTGGAACCTCCCTATATCTCTGTCTGCCTTCCTTCCCCGTACAGCAGGAGAACTGTGTGGACTTGGCACTTGTAACTAGCAACTTTAGTTATCCATAAAGTTCTCTCTCCCCAGACTTTACATCCTCTCCATCCTTGGCTCCAGTTCTGTTACCCTTCATGTCAGATCACCTAAAAGGAGTTAGCCCTGCTTTCATTTCCCCATTTTCTGCGTGGCCCACTCAGGCTTTTATTTCCTCGCTCCACTCAAACCTCTCTTGTCAAAGACCTTCACAGATGGCTGTGTTTCCAATGCCAATGGTCAGTTTTCAGCCTTCATTTTACTCATCTGCCATCATCCTTTCACAAAGTTTTCTTCCTCCTCCTTGAAGTACTTTCTTCATTTGGCCTTTGGTTAGTACTGTCTGTCTTAGCCACTTTTTCCACCGATCTCTCCTTCTCAGACTTCTTTTCTGGCGTCTCTTCCTCAGCTGTAGCTGATCAGTAACTTTTGAAATTATTTGTTTACATATTCCCTAAAAGAATTTTGGAAAACTATATATCCCTTCACACATTTTTATGTTGGCATTGAAAACTTTTCATCGCAAGTGTAATGGCTGCAAAGGTTTCCAATACATGACATAAAATAATTCTGTTACATCACTCTTTTCAATGTATCAGTCACTGCCTAAAATATATCCAATGGAATCCATATACCATGGGGATTTGATGGCCAATATCGTTAATTTTTAAAAATATGAGAAAGATTTTCTCTAGTAAAAATTTTAATCTTTTCTCCTTGAACTGGTATTCCCATTCCATTTTCCCCACAGAAATCTCATTCTAACAAAATGTACTTGAAAACTTTTGTTGATCCTCCTATTATATTTATCTCTTACCAAAAAGATATAAAAATTTTTAAATTTTATTTCCATGTCAGAACATTTTTATCACCACATAAAAGAAACCACATATTTATTGGCAGTCACCCTTCCATATTTCCTCCCAACCCGGGCTCTAGGAAACCACTCATTCACTTTCTGTATAAATTTGCCTATTCCGGGCATTTCATATAACTGGAATCATCCAATGTGTGTTCTTCAGTGACTGGTCTCTCACTTAGCATAATATTTTCAAGGTTTATCCATGCTATACTATGTATCAATGCTTACATTTTATGGCTAAAAAAATATTCCATTGTATGGATATACTACATATTCTCTCTTTCTGTCTTTCTCTTTCTCTTCCTTCCTTTTTTTCTTTCTTCCTTCCCCCCTCCCTCCCTCTCTTTTTCTTTTGAGACACACACACACACACACACACACACACACACACAGAGAAATATCTATTTGTTGTTCCAGTTATTTATGCATTCACTGGTTTGATTCTTACATGTGCCCTGACGGGGGATCCAATCTGCAAACTTGGCGTAGTAGGACAATGCTCTAACTACCTGAGCTACCTAGCCAGGGCTTTCATTTTATGTATGTATGCATGTATATATGTATGTATGTATGTATGTATTTAAGAGACATTTTCTTTATTCATCAACTAATGGACATTTTAGGTTGTTTCTTGCCATGTATCTTAGTTTATTTTTAAATCTACATTTATTATTATGATTATTGTTTTATACCTTATATGTATAATCTGTTTTGTAGGTGGGAAACTCAAGTTCTGCCCAAGAAAATGTTATTTCACTTTTAATTTTGGAAACTATTTGAGCTGCTACAGAATTCTAAATTGGCCATTATTTAGTTTCAGTACACTGAAGACATCATTCCACTTATTAGCTTCCACTGTTGCTGTTAAGACCAAAGTTCAAGTTTTGCCAGTCCTATAAATGACCTCATGATAAACCCAGTGCTTCTGTTCTTCGGTTCCTATCTTCACACAGGTTTTCTCCTGATTATTTCTTACTGTCTCATCAACTCTTAAATGCTTTTAAGATGATCGTTTTGATCTATATTTATATTTTAGTCAGCATTATTTGTTTTCAGCATAAAAGTTGATTCACAAATCTTTTAAGCCCAATACTATTAGAAATTAAATATATCAAAGATTTATGATAAAATATTTTCTTAACCCCTGCTTTAATTTTAAATTGATCAAAACTTTAAAGCTGCAGATATTGCTCAAAGTATAAAAATGTCCACAGTTTAGCTGATTAACAAAGTCCAGCTTTCAAAGTTAAGCCAATTGGCCCTATCATAGTTACAGAAGACAGCTGGACTTCATTTTTTAGTACAAATAAATGTGTTGACAAGCTACCTCAATATTTATGATGAACCAGATATAAGTTGATTCCATTTATTTACACATGGTTTTAAGAAGATGTGGCTTTAATGACCTGGACTTAACACCGTTTATGTTTTAGGGTCAACATTGAATGTTCCATAGAAACCAGAACTCAAATTTTAGGCAACTAAAGCCTGTTTGTGAATATAGTATTTCTAAATTGAAATAGGATTTAAAGCATAGCTATGAGCAATAGGCCACCGTTTTGCCCATTCTTTACAGTACCATGCCTGGAGGTACTTGGTTACCATTCTGAATATGTTCAAATAAAATCAATTCACATAAGAATATATAATCCTGGCCAGGTGGCTCAGTTGGTTGAAGTGTTGTCCTGTACACCAAAATATTGTGGGTTCAATTTCCAGTCTAGGCACAGACCTAGGTTGGGGGTTCCATCCCCAGTCAGGGCACATACAGGAGGCAACCAATCGATGTTCTCTCTCACATCTGTGTGTGTGTCTCTTTCCCCCCGCCTCTCTAATCAATAAACATATCCTCAGGTGAGAATTAAAATACATATATATATATATATAAATATATATATATACTAAGTTCTATAAAGTTTCTTCACAAGTTGTATTTCTAAAAAATAATTCAAATATCAAAATTTCTTTAATAAACTAACTGGGAATAACTTAATTGGCATCATTTATGTATTCATCAATCTGTAAGGTTAATTTTTCCCTACAAACTAACTAATGTCTTCTGCTATTTCATATCTTCTATGAAGTACAGCAACTTCTGGTTGGGGGAAAAACATATTGATTTAAATGCAGTGATGGATCTTTCAACATTGCACCTGGTGTTTTAACTTTTTCTGTAGTCCTGTACAATTTCCTAGCTTTTTCAATGAATAATACTGATTTAAGTTATATGAAATTTCAAAGACAACTTCAAGGCAATGTAAAAATATTCAACTCATTTATATTTTTACTAATGTTCTTAATGTTTACTACAATGGTTATTTTTGGAGTCTGGATGTTTTGTCAATAAATTATATTATGATAGCTTTTATATCATCATTTAAGAATAATTTCATGGGTGATATCACTAAACAAAAATTATTACTAGCCCCACCACTCCACACTACAATATATAAGGAATACAGAATATCTCAAAACTCCTAATGGTACATTTTACTACTCACAACAAGACAAAATAAGTTTGTGGTCCAATAATTAAAGAAAGGTTTGCCAAAATCAATGTTTTGAATTATCCATTAGTTTCATAACCCAGGACTGAGGGTAATAAACCACAGTAAGATTCTTTTGTAAAGCAAAAGGGTAATTTTGTGAAAGGGCCGAATGCAATGACATAAGGTAGGACTTCAAGACTTAGATTTGTCCCAGGAAAGGGTAAATATGGAAGTTAATGATCCAGAAATTGATTTCCATAAAGCTACCTATATTCTTGTATCCTTAGAAAACTTTTGTGTACCTCTGAGAGCCCTCCTTCCTTCCTTCTAGAAGTTGATTTATTTCATTAATAAAGATGAAATATATCAGATGTAGTCTGCTGCAGTGGCTTCCTAACTGGTCTTCTTCCTACTAGAGTGAATTTTCCATTGACTATTTATTTTTTTACTTTTACGTTTTAATTTTTAAAGAGAGGGGAAGGGTAGGAAAAAGAGAGGGATAGAAATATCAATGTGAGAGAAAAACATTGATTGCCCCAACTGGGGACTCAGGCATGTGCCCAGAAGGGAACTGAACCAGCGACCTTTGGCTCTGCAGGAGTCTGCCCAATCAACTAAGCCACACTGGTCAGTGATGCATTGACCCATTAAAAATGTAAATCACAGCATATCGCTCCTCTGCTTATAACTTTCCCAGGCTACCCTTTGCCCTCAGAATAAAACCCAAACATTTCACCTTAGTCTTTTTGTCCATGAACTGGCTCCTGCTCATCTCCCCCCCACAGAGACCATGTTTTAGCATTGACTTTGTACCTCCCTTTCTGACCACTCTGGCGTTCTCACAATGTCACTCCCAACTTTAGGACTTTGTAGTAACTGTTCCTTCTGCCTGGAATGGTGATCCATTAGGTAATTATTGACTTACTCCCTTGTTTCTTCTAGGTCTCTTCTCAAATTTTACCTCCTTAATCACCGTATATGAAACAGCATCAACACAATCCCCTACCACGTATTTCTCACTGGAGCCTTTCTTGGTTTTCTGCATATTGAAAGTTACCTGAAACTATATCATTTCATCACTTTCCCTCCCCAGATAGAATGTAAACTTTATGAAATGAAACAACTATCACAAAGAGATATCTGTATCTCCATGTGCATTGCAACATTATTCAAAATAGCCAAGACATGGAAAAAAATGTGTTTATCCATTTGTGAACAGATTAAAAAAAAAGAAAATACACAATAGAATATTATTCAGACATTAAAAAGAATAAAATCTTGCTATTTGCAAGAAAGCAAATGAACTTTGATGGCATTATGTTATATGAAACAAGTCAGAGCAAAGCAAATACTGTGTGATCTCATTTAGATGTGGAATCTAAAAAAGCCAAACTCATAAAAACAGAGTAAATTGGTGGTTGTCAGGGGTGGGAGCTAGAGAAAATGGGCAGATGCTGGGCAAAGGTATAAGTTTTAGGTATAAGATGAATAAGTTCTGTAGATCTAATGGACAGCATGGTGATTACAGTTAATAATACTGTATTGTGTACTCGAAAGTTGCTGAGACAAATCTTCTGTGTTCTCACTACACACACAGGCACAGACACAGACACACACACCTACACACAACAGTAATTATTTAAAGTAACAGATGTGATAACTGACCTTATTTTGGTAATATAATATATGCATATGTCAAATCCTCACAAAGATTATTCCATGATTTAAACAGCATTAATGTCTACAGTAAGCTCAGTAAACTCTATATAAACTATAATAAAACTAAAAAATGTTTTAAAATTCTGTTTGTACAACGTTGGTGTTTATAAAACTATTTCGAGAAAATTTCGACCTACCTTCGTTGCTTTGGGACCCTGAAATTTGGAAAAACAAAAGAATTGATAAATTTTTTAAAAAATTCAGGTATTTTAAACTAAAGTATCCTGATTACATAAGATGTTAAAATTAGAAGAAGCTGGGTAAAGAGTATAAGGGAAATCTCTATAACATCTTGGCAAGTTTTCTGTAAATCTGAAATTATTTTACAATAAAAAGTCTTTTAAAAAAGAACTCAGACTAAACTATAAGCAAGTGTAGGAAAAACTAAAATAAAATATTTCACTCACTGAAGCATTTTTATAAGTAAGTTTTACAGTTTCTTATGACATTCAATAATTCATGTTTAATGAAATTCCCTGTCACTGAACAGAGTACCAGTCAGAAAGACACTAGATTAAAGGGTTCCAAAGATCACTAAGTCACTGACTAAGTGTTGGTACTAATGTCAAGTTTGAAAGTGGGGAAATGATCTCATAAAAAATTATCTTTCTGTGAAATTAGATTGCTTATTTTACAGAAAGAGAAGCAGTTATTTAAAGCAGGCAAAGCTATGATTAAATGATGCTCTTTGGCAGTGTGTGAAAATTATTTTGGAAAGCACAGTATTTCAGTAATTAATTACAATTGCAAGTATTTTTCAGTTATGCTATTTCTAATTTCCTGATCAGGCCCATGTGTCCCTTAGATTTCTGGTAAGAAATTTGTGGGAGATCATGCAACTATAAGATTATACATTTTCTACACTTGAAGTCTTATACAGGACAAGTTACTGGCTCAAACCATAAGTTTATCACTGTATAAAATATAAATGTTAAAACTGACACAAAGCAGATTACATCTTATTGAAAAGTTCATGTATTTAGTTTGTCCAGCAAATGTTTCTTAATGATTTGGAAGGCACTCTAAGATGCTGGAGAATATCAAGAATAGAAGAGACTTTGCTCTCATACAATTTTTACAAATGAGTTCCATTTTTAGTATTATATTTGCTATCAATTAATGGTTAACATATACTTCCACTTTGAGATAAGTACTATAGAGCAGACTATATAAATAGCATTGCCTCTGCTCTCAAGTAGCCATATTTTAAAGATGGGCAAATTGTCATCTATCACTAGTGCTTTTAACGTGAAGCAGATTAGGGATAAGTACTGTACATATCCTCACTTCCTTGCAAATCATAAGAAGACTATCAGGTAGTTGAGTAGTGCTCAAAGAGCAGAGAGCATAAGCACAAAGAATGAACTCTTATATTTTCGGGTAATTAATAAACTAAATAATTACATTTCCACTTCCTCTGATTTTAATCATAGAGATGGAAATCATATTTAAGAAAAATAGAAAAACAAATTATTTCATAGGTACACGTTGGCTTGCGCTCTTGGAGAAGACAGCTGAATGCAGAAAAAAAAGAAACGAGAAGCTTTATCATGGTTAATAAATTCACGGCAGGCTGAGTACCTTGAATAAAAAAAAAACACCTATTTCCACTAGGTTGAGACTAATTTTTAAACCTAGCCACAGTGACCGATTAGGACATCATCTGACCTGTCCGCCGGATATTGGACCGGAAGGCCACGGGTGAGGGTTATGGGTTCTTGACTAAACAGACGCGCTCCCCTCTAAAATAAGACAGGCTCTTATTACATCATTTAACACTAGTCAAGGAGATTCAATGCTCGCGCCTTCACCTGGATCCCCCTCTTCCCCTGCTCACCATGCTGAGCGAAGCACGACCTCGGAGGTCTGTCTGCAAAAGTCAAGCTGAGTTGTGTGGACAGACGCTCTTGGGTTGTCCGGACGACAAGCCACGCCCAATTGCCCCGGGGTGGGGGAACTCCACCCTCCCAAGCCTGCCCGCGCAGTCGCGCTAGACTTTTCCGGATGGCGCCACGCCCCTCCCCTGACAGGTTTCTCCCCCCTCCCCCGCCCTGCTTCAATAGTTGACCGACTGAAGAATGGAAGCGATCTGAAGTTTTTCCGGCTGTGGCGTGCGGGAAAGTGCGTGAGTGCTGCCACCGGGGTGCTTTGTTCCGTTTTGCCGACCTTGGGGTTTGCAGACGGTGAAGTGTTCTCTGGGCGAGGATATTCTCCGTGTGTGGGAAAGGGTTTCTGAGCGTCTTCTGACATTGACAGGCTCTCCCTCATTGTTTCCCTGGAGCGCGAAGAATCTTTGCAAGGGTTTCCAGAAGGAAAGGGGCCACCCCAGCTACGCGATTGGGTCTAGTGATGACCCGGGTTGGCTGCCAGTGGGGTGACGGGCTTAACTGGCAATTTAGATAAAGAAGTAAACTGGCTCCAGGTAGGTTGGTTATTTTTAAGTGAGTGACCTTCGGACTCGTCTCCTTGCACATGGTTCTGTTTAGTTCCTGCGCAAGGTATATATTGCCTGTTTTTCTAAGAGCCGCTGTAAACAAGAACTGGAAAGGACTTGAAGCAATTCCTGGGCAAAAGTTCTTTCTTACAGTTGAGGGTCGCTGAGGGTTAGGGTTAGGCTCATCAGGTTATTTGCCCAAGATCAAAAATTGTGATAACCAGGAACACAACCTTCAGAATTTGTCTCCTCCCCAAGTGAGGAAACACTCACTGGCAACTTAGACCAACAGAAAACTAGAAGAAATGAGTAATTTAAGATATTAAGCTCTTTCCAAAGCCCAACTGATTTCTCCATGATTTAGGACCCCAAACCCTGTTTTAGCATAACATGACAGGAAATACTTTAAAATTATCGGCACCATTTCTCACTTCTGAATTCTAATTGTATAATGTTCTATCCCAATGTCATTGATTAAATGTATTATTAATAAATATTACTGAGCTAGTCTTTGTGGGTTACAGTGTTATTATCCCTATTGTAACAGAAACCCAGGTTGTGGAATGTTTATGACATTTCACCTCCAAATCTCTGGTGGTTAGATAAACATGTTAATGTCGACTTCATATATGTCTGAAACCGATGGCATGGAAGAAATTGCTTTAAGTTATTTTCAACTAAAATACTGTTTATGGCACAAAACCTCAGTCCATTGAACTAGGATTCATGGGGGAAAGAAGGTTATTAGTTCTGAATTACCTTCAAATGGTCGGTGTCTCGGGGAAAGGACTTGCCCAAGCTCTCCCTGTTCCGGGAGGAGGAACTGCTATGGATGTGATAGAACAGGCTGGGTGGGGTGTGTTCTAGGAGTCACTGTGCTATAAGAGATTATGCCAGTGAGCTTGGTTCTCCTTTAGTACTTCTCTTGCAAGCTGCATAAAGAGTAAGAATGCCCTGTTCTTTCCTCTTTACCTTCAGACAGGTGTAGTATCTACCTGTTCTGAACATGGATAACCATCTTTCAACTCATTTATATGATCTGGCTTCTAGGTAAGATTAGATCAAACTGTATGCCAGCCTTTGGAGACAAAATCTCTTGCTCCCTACCTCTCTGCTTACAAATCCTTTGGTGCTAGCAAGTGTGTTGGAGTAAGTTCTTGTGTGAAGCTTTTTAGGTTTAACTAGTTTGGGGAAATGTGCTTTGTCTGTTTGAGTCAAGTCTACTAGAACCCAATAAATAATGACATTGAATTGCCTTTCCTTGCCAGTTTTCTTTCAGCTTTGATTGCCATCTGAACGTTATGGCGAAGAGTGATTAACAACAGCTTTGAGTGCCATAATCCCTAGTAAAATGACAGTTCTTGCTTAACCCAGAACTGAAGTTGAGTCTTCACTAGTTAGCCCAGTCACTAGAAAAAAAAGCCATCAATGGGGATTGTTCCTCCCACCCCTTTCCTACCACACACATCCACGTTCTCAGAATAATGGGGGATTTCTTTTTGTCCCTAACTCATTTGACTCTTTACAAAGAAGAGAAACCTCCATGATTTCATGCACAGTTAAGGAGCAGTCCCAGGTCCTGGCTGCACTTAAATTGTTCAGCAATTGCAACCCCAAGGAGACCTATTTCTCCCAAAGCCTAAAATAAACTTAAATGGCTGAATGTCAGTGTACATTAACAAAGATTAACTGCCTTAATTTGTTTAAATGAACATATCAATGAATGGACAAATTTACCTTAGCCACATCTGGCTACTTTTTTTTTGCTGGGAAAATCCTGTGTTATGCATAATTTATAAAAAGAACAACAGCTAAAAAGTACAATTTAAGCCACATCTATAAAAGCCTGCAGAAATTTACAAGCTGTGAATTAAACTATGCTCTTTCCCAGGAATTAAACAGGCTATAATTTGCAATTTGAAATTACATCTATGTAGATTTAATTCAGAATTATTTTAAAAGCACATGGTTCTTTTTTAATTTTGCTGAATTTAATTAAGCTTTTTAATCTATTTTTATTCTTGTTTATACTGTTACAGTTGTCCCAATTTTCCCCACTTTGCCCTCCTCCATCCAGCCCACCCCCCACTTCCACAGCCAATCCCCACACTGTTGTCCATGTCCAGGGGTCATTCATACATGTTCTTTGACTGTCCCTTCCCCTTCTTTCCACCATTCCTCTCCTCTCCCCTTTCCTCTGGCAGCTGTCAGTCTATTCCCTATTTCCATGTCTCTGATTCTGTTTTGCTCAGAACCAGAGACATGGAAAGAGGCTATTTTTTACTCCCTTGTAGGTTCATGCCCCCTTTGTCTAATATTAATTGACCACAGAGACAGAGTTTGTTTCTGGACTCTCTTCTTTATCCTGTTCCATTGATCTATATGTTCTTCTGCCAATACCAGACTTTTTTTTTATTACAGTGACCTTGTAGTATAGCTTGATATCAGGTATTGTGATCCCTTCAAGTTTATTCTTCTTTCTCAAGATTGCTGAGGTTTTTGGGATCTTTTTTGGTTCCATATAATTTTTTTAAGTATTTGTTCTAGATCTGTGAAATATCCCCTTGGCATTTTAATAGGAATTGCATGCTTATAACCATTACTTTGAACTCTATGTCTGATAAATTGCTTGCCTCGATTCCACATAGCTCTTTTTCTGGAGATTGCTCCTTTTCTTCCATTTGGATGTTGTTTCTTTGTCTCCCCATTTTACTTGTCTCTTTGTGTTTATTTCTATGTATTAGATCGATTTGCTTTGACCCACTGTCTTGTGGAGTGGCCTTGTGTGTTAGGAGTCCTGTGGGCCCCAGTGGTATAGACTCCTTGACCTTCTGAGTGTATGCTCTAGAAATGTTCTCCATGTGGGTTATGTGGACCCTCCTGTTGTGTTTAGGTCCTGATTGCTATTTGCCCATCCATTGGTGGGAACTGCCCTCCACCTGACTATGAGGCTCATCCTCCACCATGTGTTGTGTGCTATTGTATAGGTGCTGGCAGAACAAAGCAAAACAACACAAAATCAACACCAAAACAAGCAACCCCTCCCTGATCACTACAGCAATATCAACAAGAGAGCAAGGAATAGTGAAAGCAGGAAGAGGAATGGAGTAGTAGAGAAAGGGGAAAAAAGGAAAAAGAGAATGAGAGGACCAAAGAAAAGTGATTATGAGGAGAAATGGGAAGAGATCTATTTGTAATGAATTGAAAGAGGAAAATGGGGAAAAGCAGCACAGAAAAAATAATACAAATAATACAAGGGGAGAAGGGAACAGTGGAGTTATCAAAAGAGTACAATAGGCGTGGCTGTTCCCAGGATGGGCCAAAACTGCTCTGCAAAGTTGGCTTTTATCAGCACTGGGTCCAGGGGTGTCAGCAAATGTCCCAGGTCACCACAGGAACTGCTCCACCTGTCTGCCTGCTGGCCTGCTGTCAATCTTAGCCTACTTGCAGACCCGACTATTTCTGAGAGGGCTTCTGGTGGAAATGGGGCTGTGATTCCTGGATCTCCCGTGGCAGGTGCCTTTCAGACCTTAGGGAAGATGGTGGGTTTGCTCCCCTGCCCCAAGCCGCTAATCTGACTCTGTCTGGGATTATTTCCCTGTACTCAGCAGGCTTCCAGAGCCCAGATTTTGGGTCTGCGGATACCAGGAGGGTGTTTCTGTGGCTCTCCTGTGAGGAGACCAGTCTGTCTTCCATGATAGTGTGTTTACTGTACCCTACTGCCAGTCTCTGATGACCCCTGAGTATGTTTACTTTGCTGTTGGCTCAGCAAGGGTTAAAATGCAGAATGGGAGGGGAAAAAAAAGCAGAACACCAAGACAGAGTAGAACTACTAAAAGGAAAAAAAAGTTGGTAAGTGTAGTAAACAGGATCTCAGAGGTTATGGAAAGGGGATTTCCAGAGGGTGGGGGGAGTGTATCCCACAGGGTAAGGTATTTGATTAGCCCCTGGGAGGGGCTAGCTCTTCTCAATAAGAGCTCCCCCAAGACTCTCCCCATGCCTCCCACTCCAGACTTTCCTCATGTGACTCCAGTCTGTGCCACCCTCCCTTCCCTGGAGTCCCAGGTGGGTAGCTGAAAACACATAACCTATGCTTTGCCATTTAAGCAGAGGGGGTGGGGAAGATGCTGAGTTTATCTCCAGCCATTTTTATCTCTCCCCAGAGCAGAGGGCCCCCATGGTGCAGACTCCTTGGTCTTCTGATCTGGGTGCTCCAGGAATGTCCTTTTGTGGGTTATGTGGACTCCTGTTTATTTGGGACCTGATTTTCCATTGGCTCTTTCCTTGGTGGGAACTTTCCCCTGTCTGGCTAAGGGGCTCAACCCCTAAGCCTCTGCTTTGAAAGGGCATCTAAGGGTGGGTTGGATCCCCCAGTCTGGGCACGTACAGGAGGCTACCTATCAACTCTTCTCTCACACCAACACCTCTCCCTGCCCCTCCCAAGTCAACAGAATATATTCTGTGTGCACCATCTTCTTTTAAGTCTCATGTCATCCTGATGGGGTGGGAGAGGGAAGGGAAGAGTCCAGCAGCAAAACTGTAACATGGGACCATGGCTGGGCGCTCATACCATTCCCTCCAGTGTCAGCCTTGGGCTCCTGCCAATGTGCTCCTGCTGTGGTCTCTGCCCCTGGTGCTCCCAGCTCCTCAGCTGATCCGCATCCTCCTCAGTGAGACTCCGTCCTACTCGA